GCCTAAGACCGTCTGCAAACATATGCTCTACAGTTATGAAGTAGCAACGTAAATAATTTTGTGGTTTGGGGTCGCATGAGGAACTGTATTAAATGGTCGCGGCATTAGGAATGTTGAGAACCACTGGCTTACAATGACACTTTGAACATGGACTTCCTCCTAAAACCCAGTTAGGCTTACATTCATACCGGGGCACAGGTGATATGATATTTGCAGCACGCCAACTGCATGAAACATGTCAAGAGCAACACAGTGACATGTTCATCACCTTTGTTGATCTGACCAATATATTTGACCCAGTGAGTAGAGATGGCCCGGAGAAGATCATGGAGAAGTTTGGCTGCCCGAGTAGATTTATTACAATAGTACGTCAACCCCACGGTGCCCAAGTTGATGGATTCTGGAGATGACTCTATGGCTTTTTCCTGTAACAAATGGCGTAAAACAAGACTGTGTTCTAGCCCCAAAACTTTTTAACATGGTATTCTCAGCAATGCTGACTGATGCTTTTCTTGACAATAATGACGACATTCCTATAAGATACGGGACACGGAGGGCTATTTAATATTAGGAGACTGCTTAAGCTATTTCGAAAATTAAAGAAACTGTTATTCGAGACCTCTTATTTGCTGATGACTGTGTGCTAAATGCAAGTTCAGAAATACTTCTTCTCCTTCCTTATATTATGGGCCCACGATCAATTCATCGCACATTCTGGCTCCTATGCTCGTAGAGGGGATTTGCAATATTTCTGTGCCTGGTGTTGACGAGGATATTTCACTGGTTGCTACTTAGTGATGGTATCATGCACTGGGGGTTGGAAGGCCTTAGACGATATTCACAAATGAGTCAAGTGTTTTCGTCTCAACTGTTCCTTTTAGAATCTTGTTCCAGTCCCTGATTGTCTTGGGCAGGGATGAGCAGTTCCTATACTGGCTTATCGCTGGTAAGCCGGAACTGCCTGCCATGGCCTAATCACTGTCTATGGGGGAAGGGACTGATTTCTGTTTAATGTTGGAGCAGTGGACCAGCCCATTACTTGATGGCCTTGCTAAGGCCTGCGAAAGCTACGACCTCGCCATCAATTCGAAAAAACAACAACATTGATTTTTGCACCAGCCAGCTCTAGGGAAAACATATAAAGAAACAAATATCAGTGAAGGGACAGAATCTCCAAGCAGTGGGAAAATTCACATAATATGTATGCAGCTCCCTCCCAAGGTCCGTAACAATATATAATGAGATCAATAGCCGAATATTCAAAGCAAATGTTTGTGAAGGCTCCACAAGAGTGTTTTGGGGCGAAGGGGTCTCAGTCTAGTCATCAAGCTGAAGGTATATAGGGCATTCGTATTAACTTCACTCCCTATAAGCTAGCGAGACATGGCCATTGTACTGTAGACATGCTAGGCAGCTAAACCATATCCACCTACGATGACTAAGTAAACTTCTCGGTATAAGATTGCAGGACAGAATCCCTGATACAGAGGTCCTATAACGGGCCGATTGCATCAGCATCCACATGCTCCTACAAAAGTGACACGCCAGATGGGAAGGGAATGTCAAAAGCATGCCAGACAGCAGACTTCCCAAACGACAAATGTTCGGCTGAACTCTTCAGTGGGAAACACTAGGCTGGTGGGCAACAAAACAATATTCAAGGACTGTCAAAAAATTCACATAAACCCATCAGTGTCGGAGCAAAATCCTCAGAGAAAAAGCGAATCGCTCACGTCCAAAGAAAGCGCACAGCATAAAAAGCAAATTGGCTCAAATCCTACTAGGACCCACAAACAATGTGTGTCCCAAGCACATATAGCACTGGCAAGCAACCCGGTTATTCACCGTTTAATAATATAGCCTTGGTCATCTTCGCATGCGAAAGACGAATAACATGTCTTATCGTTTTTTTTTTTAAAACTTATTATTTACTTGCTAGGCCTAATTTAAATTTAAAAAAAAACCCTCACAATTTACTTGATACAACAAGCCTACATTAAAAAAAAAAAGCTATGAAAGTATAAAGTTAAATTAAACAACCGCTAAAGACACAGTTTTCGTATAAAACCTTTATAAAATGTAATATCGAGCGATGGGACTGGAGCTGAGACTTTGTTAAACATACATTCAAATAACGCACTTTATAAAAAAAATCACAATTTAGTGCTCCCCTCTCACCAAGGCTCGTACCGCACTTTTTCCCCCACGCCCCTAAACTATAGGGATATTTTAATCAACCACCCGCTTTAACACCGCAGATTTGTTTCGCAAACTATTTTTTTTTAAAATAAAAAATATCACGCACCAAACGCACTTGCGATATTTTTTTAGAAAAGAATCTCTTTTAGTGCAGTTATCGGAAATTTTCTTTCATGTTCCCCTAGAAAAAAGGAAAAACAGAGTTGTGGTGATTTGGGGGGGGGGGGGTCTGAAAATTTTAAAGAATGAGTTGTCATCGGCAACGAGACTATGTGCCAAGTGTCAACTCCTAAGTCTACTTGGATTGATTAATTCTTCAAATTCTTTCACACGTTGAATAGCCTACGTCGTCGTAATATTCTTCCTATCACCACTTTTCATAATAATTATAACTTAAATATCTAAGTATATACTATACATATAAACACATGAATGTAGCGCAGCTCGCTATCAGAAATAAAATAATATACATCCTACTTCCACAAAGTTCCATTCACGACTGCCGCACGACTAAAACTAACGTCACAATACCGTCTAGACAATACGTCACGAATCAGCATAAAAATACGTCATAGAGACAAGCGCGGGAAGAGAGTTCATTAACTAAATGAGTAGAGCGCGGGAAGAGCGTTCACTATCCAATAAAACTCTCAAACACACACCACACGTAATAAACATAATACCCAGTCGTAACAATTACTAATGAACTCCCATACTTGACACCAAGTTTCAGCTGGATAGCTTGACGGGAAGTGGGTCAATAAGCCGTCCGAAGATTTGACCAGCAAGCCAGCACTAATAAAAGCGAAGACAATGTAAAGGGTTTATAACAACCCTAAAAAACATAGTTTTTCGATTAAATCCTTTATAAAATCTAATAGCAAGCAAAGGGATGGAGCATAACATTTGACAAAACTTGCATACAAGTAACGCCTTTTAAGAAGCCCAATTAGCCGTCCACAAAATTTGCCTGCCACCCACCCACGAAAAAAAAAGCTAAGTTAAGTGATATAAAGCATTGAAAAACACGTGTTTTTTTTTCTTTTATTCTATTATTTTCATATTCAAGCCACTTAACTTAAGTTCGTAAAATGAAAGTCAATTCAACGAAACATTCATTGGTCAATGTATATTTGTTTTCATCCTTGTGAGTATATATTGTTATTTCATGTCTTTGCTTTACTTTATCTTCTCATTGGTTAAAATCCAATGACAATTTGATAATATCCGGGTCTTTAGATGGACTTTGAAGTCGATTTACAATTTCGATTTGATAGATCAAGAAAGGCTACCGGTGTATTATTATCACATTTCAAGCTGGCTAAAATTTTGAAATTAAAACTGGGGAAAAAAAAGGGTGTTGTACTGTGGAAATGTAAGACAGGGCTTTGCATTGTCTTGTTCACTGTAGCGTGCTATCAAGTTGCGTAGCTGGGGCTACTACCACCCGGGTCGGGCCCAGATTTGTGCCCCCCACCCTCCTTTTTTCACGAACAAAACTCAATAGAAAAAAGTGTTGCAACAAATGTTATAAATTGTTTGGTAGCCGATTTGTGTGTGTGAGAGGGGTTCTGCAGTTAGTCCCATGTGTCTCATTTGGGGGGGGGGGGCAACGTTACTGCGTCAAGCCATCCCTCCCTGTGGCGTCAAAGCCAGTGTGATAAAGACTCGGTATGGAGGAGAACAGTAGTGAACAGCTGGCTATGAAACATATGGATGTACACCACTTTGATGCCGCAGTATTCGAAGAAATGCTGAAGGGACACAAAGCAAAATTAGGAATGGAGTCTCAGTGCTAAAGCACACGGTTGATGAACTTCGCTTTTAACGGGGAACTTCTCCAATGTTGAAACAAGGTGTAATGTGCGTGTCCTCCAATGCTGAAGCAAAGTGTAATGTGCTAAGGTAACATCATGTGTGGATAATACAGTCTGGCGCCCGTAGCGCCGCAGGAGTTGCCGGAATTTGATTGTGTTAATGTCATAACTCGGGACTCCATCTCCGAGTTTGATTCAGAGTTTTCTTTCTCTTGGGATGAGTTGGCATCCACCAGGGGTGATGTATTTGCTTGTCCACTTGAACTCCACTCCACAGGCTTGTTATTGATTCAGTTTAGACCGCTCTGCCACCCAGGGTATCATTAACAGGGCATTGATGGGATGGATATACAATACAAGGGTAGTAATGGGGTATTTTCCCAGTGCAATAAGCTGGTACATTTACTAGGGCCATGGTGTTAATGGGGTAAGTTGTCGTATAATTAATGGGATATATTTACCAGGGCCATGGCATTAATGAAGTAATTTATCATGTTATTAATGGGATATATTTACCAGGGACATGGCATTAATGGGGTAAGTTGTCATGTTATTAATGGGATATATTTACCAGGGCCATGGTATTAATGAAGTAATTTATCATGTTATTAATGGGATATATTTACCAGGGACATGGCATTAATGGGGTGAGTTGTCATGTTATTAATGGGATATATTTACCAGGGCCATGGCATTAATGAAGTAATTTATCATGTTATTAATGGGATATATTTACCAGGGACATGGCATTATGGCATTAATGGGGTAAGTTTTCATGTTACTAATGGGATATATTTACCAGGGTGATAATGGGGTAACTTAATTGGGTTTTTAATGAGGTATATTTACCTGGGAAATAATGGGATATATTTACCAGTTACCATGGCATTAACAGTGGTAACTGTAAAAGGGATTTAATAGACTAGCCTTTAACATGACAACACATTATACTAGTTTGACCAATGAAACACATGACAACATTAAAAATCATCCAAAACTTATTTTATTAGATTTGCAAAAGAAAAACTGCAAATATAAGCTGAACAAATTTCAAGCAATGCCAAGTGCTTGTAGCCCACATTTTTAGTTTTCTAAAAACAGTCTTATTCAGGGAGTTCATTCAGTTTAGCTAGATCAGATTCAGATCTTTAATAGCGATGTGTTAATATTGCAGTGATTGTAAATCAGAGCAAGATATTGGTAGCACATTTGACAGGGAGAGTACGAACTGATTTCAAATATGTAGGTCATTGCTGAAGGCTTTATTTTTTTTTTTTTTTTAAATTATATTTTTTATTTACTTTTGGTGAGAACATTTTTTCAACAAAAAAAAGATTAAAGCAAAAGATACTGGACTCAACCTACACATTTTGAAAAAATTAAGTTAATAAATCAGAGCAAGATATTGGTAGCACATTTGACAGGGAGAGTACGAACTGATTTCAAATATGTAGGTCATTGCTGAAGGCTTTATTTTTTTTTTTTTTAAATTATATTTTTTATTTACATTTGGTGAGAACATGTTTTCAACAAAAAAAAGATTAGAGCAAAAGATACTGGACTCAACCTACACATGTTGAAAAAATTAAGTTAAGTATTAGCTTTAAAGTAACAAGAATTATGAAGACGTCAACATGGAGTAAATTTGTTTGAAATTCAAATGTTGAATGAAAATAGCATTTACTAAAAACAATTACTATGGTAACGTGCAAATAACAAAATCAATTATAGTCTGGCAGAGAGCAACATTAATATTATAATTATTGTGACTTCAAAACTAAATATTCATTTTAGAGCCTTTATATAAGTTATCTCATAGTTCAGAAGCTTTTGTACTTGAGTACTAAATTATTTATGCTTGAACACAACATCCAGTTAGTATTACTTAATTAAAGAAATGTCTATTTAAACTATGCGTAAATCATGAAACAGTGAATTTAATTAAAAATATAATTATTGGAATTGTCTTATAGAAGTACTTGAAATCAACTAAAACTAAGAGTCATCTGTTGCAGTCCGCGATGCTAGGGCCACATACACCTTTCTTAAAGATGGCTGCGCAAAAGGAAATTCAGAATTGAGCCTGTCCACGATGGCTGAGAGAGCTTGGACACGATCCTCTTGCTTACGTGATTCCAGCTCTAAGGAAGATGGTGTTCGACACATCATGATGTACTTGCCCTCTTTGACTTGCTGGTAATACTTCATCTTTTGTTGGCGTGCCAGCAGTTCAGTTAAATTCTGCAAGCAATAATGTAATCAAACTATTATACTTTTTTTCCAACAAAATTTCAATCAAAATAACCTGCACATTTTTTTACTATAAATCTGAGTTTGTTACAGGACACATAAAAAAATATATTTTCAGATCTCACAGTGTTTCTTTGTGCAGTTAGCTACAGCAATGTTCTCTTAAAACGAAAATTTATCAAGTTCAATATAAAATATTGAAAAAATAAAATATTGATTAATCCCATAATTGTAGCATAAAAAATTCAAACTCTTGACTATTTTGTTATAATTATTATATTGATGGGAAGACCATTTTTGTTTACTGTGAACAGAACTTTCTACAGACCTCCTCATTAGCATACTTGTAGGACTATTTTTTTAGACTTACTCTTTGTTTTATTTCCATTGTCCTATCAATATCACCGTCCAATGAGTCCGAGGCCCCCTGCAGTTGCTGGCAGTTGATCTGTTTCTGTTCAAGCTGCTCGCTCATCACCTGCTGGTGGTCTCTTAGCTCTTGGATCTCACCATCACAAGCGTTTGCTTCCTAATAAAAATGACAAGTAATTTTTGCTTTAAAAGCCATCTGTGAGAAATAACAGAACCAAATTCATGCATGCATTGGATGTTAAATACAGTCCAACCCACTTATCTCGACCTCAGTTAGCTCACCAACCCTATTAAGTCGACTTTTTTGAAGTGGAACCGCCAAATTTTCTCTTTGTCTTAGCATTTTCTCATCTGTTATTTCGATTCTTTAATGTCGCCGAAACCTTATATCTCGAGCACAAAAGAGGGCCAAATCTGTCACTTAACATCAGTTATCTCGACCCCCATGATCAATCGCCAACTTTTGAACTCCAAAGGAAGAAATAGCAAACAACAAATAAAAAAAGTTTTGCATAATTAAAAATAATTATTTATTTCTCAAAATATAGGAGCAAAAGAATCCTTATATTGGGTGTTAAGGGGAGGTGCAGGTATGTAATTTCAAGCAAAATTTGGTATTTTCCTGACCTTCTTCATGTATTACATGATCTAGCCCTGACCTTTGAATAAAATAATCATTTTGATTGATTCCTGTGTTGGAATTCTGTTTTTAATAACTACTTACAATCGCTTCATCAAACAAATCGCGGCAAAGCTGTTGTGTAAAAAAAAATTTTAAAACTCCAAAAACATGTGCATGTACATTCACATTTATAAACGCACAACATGTACATAAAGAAATTTCAAGCACATGTTAATATATTGCCGCCATATTGGTTTTTGTTTATCTCAATAATGGGTTATCTGGAAACTTTTTGGTAAACCCCTAGGCCGGCAAAATAACCCGGTTCAACTGCAGCGATAAATTTTCTGTACAAGTTTTCTTTCTACACTTGAGGCTTAAAGGTTGTTTTTTATTAAAAATTATTTAATCTACATTATGTATCCTCATCATAAAGAGAGAAAATAGTCCAAGCCATGACACTAAACTTTGATTTCAAGATCAAGTCTGAAATTAATATGGAATATGACAAGGGTGGACAGCTTGGACCTGGGGCTGTATGAGAGATTCTTTTTGAAAGAAATATTGCAAGAAAAGAATGATTAAAATGGAGGCCATTATGCGAATTTGAGAACACTTTTATAGAATGTCTGGGGACTATAGATAGTGAGGGAGAACAAATTGTGTGAGGCGCCTTTCAATGTAGAGAAATGTGTAGTGAAAAATGTTCATTTGGTTTATGATAAGTATCCCCGCAAAAGTTTGATTGGTTCAAGAAAATGCAGTGTTTTACTCTTGAAATGATATGCAGAATATTATGTTAGTAAAGTGTCACAAGTATTAGTTTGATCTAAAAATGATATTAGCCAAATTTGTTGATGCCCACCTAGGCTGAAGTTGATCTTTTAAAAACTTTTAACAAAATATTATTTACAAAGCACAAGGTAATTTTTTATTTTGGTTAAATTTTTTGAATACTGTTCCTTTGAGATCATGAACTACCAATGCTGTATATGACTGATTTGAATGGTTTGGCTAGGTACATGGTGTTTTCTTGATTTTTTAGTGGGTGTGTCTTAATAAAAACGCTTATTAAACAATGCCATAATACATTTTTACCTGTCCGATATACCTACAAATATGCTGTGTCAGCAAACATATAATGAAGATCTGTGAGGCGATGTTAAGTGAGACTCAACTGTATAGTTTGTTTGATGATTTATGTGGCAATGTACAGTGAGATTCACCTGGATAGTTTTTTTGATGATGTGTGAGGTAATGTACAGTGAGACTCACCTGGATAGTTTGTTTGATGATGTGTGAAGCGATGTACAGTGAGACTCACCTGGATAGTTTGCTTGATGATGTGTGAGGCGATGTACAGTGAGACTCACCTGGATAGTTTGTTTGATGATGTGTGAGGTGATGTACAGTGAGACTCACCTGGATAGTTTGTTTGATGATGTGTGAGGTGATGTACAGTGAGATTCACCTGGATAGTTTGTTTGATGATGTGTGAAGCGATGTACAGTGAGACTCACCCGGATAGTTTGCTTGATGATGTGTGAGGTGATGTACAGTGAGACTCACCTGGATAGTTTGTTTAATGATGTGTGAGGTGATGTACAGTGAGACTCACCTGGATAGTTTGTTTGATGATGTGTGAGGTGATGTACAGCGAGATTCACCTGGATAGTTTGTTTGATGATGTGTGAGGCGATGTACAGTGAGACTCACCTGGATAGTTTGTTTAATGATGTGTGAGGTGATGTACAGTGAGACTCACCTGGATAGTTTGTTTGATGATGTGTGAGGTGATGTACAGCGAGATTCACCTGGATAGTTTGTTTGATGATGTGTGAGGCAATGGACAGTGAGACTCACCTGGATTGTTTTTTTGATGATGTGTGAGGTGATGTACAGTGAGACTCACCTGGATAGTTTGTTTGATCTTCTTCCTGATCTCACCCATCTGCCTCTCAAATATTCCCTTTGTCACAACTTTCTTCTTCATTTTGGACTGGGCATCTCCTCTTGTCAGAATTGTGTCACGCCTAAATATTGAGTGCTAATTTTTAATGACCGACATGATTTCATTACACAAATGATACATATATGTATCCCTGAGAAAAAAATATTGATAAATTTATTAAAGCTTAATCTTTTGTTAAATTCATTATGTGTAACAATTATGTCATTTACCAACCTGGAGACCGCTTTCTCCATGTCCTGAATCATTTTTTCTTGCTGTTTCATGAGCTGAGAGTACCTCACTTGCATGCGATGAATCTCAGATCTCATGGCTCGCATCTCTCCTTGACCAATCTCTGAATCCACTGCAGCCCGAGTTTCACGGGCAAGCTGTGTCTTCTTCTCCCATAACATAATTTGTCTCCTGAATAATGACAAGTGACAAGGAATTATAATAGTCAACCTCAATAAAATATTTTATTGAGTAAAAGTTAAAAAAAAAGCTTTTGAACAAAAGACAAGCAAGTTCTTACAAATATTTTTGGTTATTTTAAAAAATTAAGCATATATATACTCTCTTTTCTCTCTAACATAAATTCATTTTTGATCTCATAATAATTACGCCCTCCTTGCACTAAGATAAGAATCAGATCCATCCCATGGCCCCTGCAAACCCTGCGGCTACAGAGGCCTCAGATATTTAAGGGGTCAAAGTTGTTATGTTTGAAAAAAAATTAACCCCCCCAACTTTGAATGCAGGGGTCACAACTATTGCTGCAAGCAGACGGGTGAGCTCAGATACATTTTCAAATATGGACAACTATGCAAAGCCTACACTTTCAAGAAATTTTTTTTTTTTTTTTTTTTAAATAACTAGTGTATTTTTTGAAAAATTTTCAACAAGCAAGTTCTCTTTCAAAATATGTTCAAACAAAAGGACTTGGTTTGACTGAAAAGACATTTGAGAAATTGAATAACAAATAACTCTGAAATGTTTAAACGAATTTCATGCAATGAGCAAATGTCCAGTTAGATATAGAGGATTTGGAAGCTGAAAATGAACATTGTAGAAAACAAAATGTGCTTGATGGAGAAATTGCTAGATGAACTATTACTTGATTCAATAATCAAACATTTCATGCCCATGTTAATGATCAGGTTTTTAATAAAGTGTTGAGTATTTTTTGCAACAGATTTACAGGAAACGACAAGATAGCAGAAAGCATGGCATGACCCGGTCTGAGGAAATCAGATGAACTTGATGGAAACTCACATTAAACTGACACATTTCTCAGCAACTAGAATTTGTGAAGTATGTCTAGATTTTGTATATAATTTTTATGTTTATAGAAATTACTATTACATGAAATAAATTCAATATTGTTTATTTAAATACACCTTTACAATTATTTAAGCCTGATTCCCATAAATGGTCAATAAGTCCTTTCCTTGGAGAAGGCCAGTTAATCCTAATGGAAAATCGCCCAGGCCCTCTCAATCCCTCAATCCACCCCTATCGCCCTCTATATTTTTTAAAAAGATTTCCCACTTTATAAAATAAAATGCAATTCCATGTCTGCTGCTAACAGCATGCACTGGCCAGCCATTATGATAACTTATATTTGAACATGCCAGCCTTTAATTTATTAGGTCGCAGTATTCAAAAAAGATGAGAAACTGGATGTTGTTCCAATAAGAGGTGTATCATTGTATTAATTTTGATGGCACCCTTTTCATTAGGCTTAGTCAGGTCAGTGTGGTGCAGCACAACATTTGACTGGTATTAATACTGAGTGCACACTATTCACTGAGCTTTGAAACATCAGTGTTCTGTATCACAACATTGGACAACACTGAATAACAAACACAAGCATATTTGTATTTGCTTATCACTTTGGCTGGCAAATGGAAGCAGACATGGCAGCGAAGGTAACAAAGAAAACACAACATTGTAGTCTGTAAGTTTGACTAAAATTGTGATGGAGATTAAAACACTACTTTTAACTTAACTGGAATTACTACAATTCTACAATGTGATGTGGATAAACTATTATGTGTTTGTAAAATGTAAAAAAAAAAAACATGGACTAACTCTGCTTCTACAAGACTGTTCAGGAGCCTTTCTTTCTCATCTTTGATTCCATCCAGTCTGGCTTGGAACTGTATTGACTCCAACTCAGCTCCCTTAAGTTGAGAAGAGTGAAACAACACAACAGTCAGGAGTGCAAATTCTTTCAGAAATAAAACTACACTAATTCAAATCATGTATCTTTAGGCAAAAAAATAGTCATATAATGAAACTTATTTATTTCATTTGAAATGTCAAGAAATAAACCAAAATAAAATTTAACAACTATCTGCACAGCACAAACCCGTGGCCCCGCCAGCCCCTAAAACCTTAAAAACCATCAGGAAAACACCGACCTGCAGCCCTGCCACAAATGCGTTCTCCATGAGAATATTCCCCTGCTCCAACTCCTCCCCTACACACTTCTCTTTGTGCAGAAGGCTGTTCAGTTTGATGATGTCATTTCTCATGTTGCGGACATTGCGCTCAATCTCACACATTGCATGTTGCTGCTGTTCAATTTCATCTGGTGAGGAATTTAAAATATGTCTTTTAAAATATAATCAATTAGACTTGCTTTAACTTTGTATCTGAAGATCAGTAGGCATGAAATCCTGAAATGGTTTATGAATAGCTTTCTCCTAATTATTTAAACAATGGGCAAAGAATGTGACAGACTTAAGGTCTTGCCTTTGATTTAATTTTGCAAGACATGTGCAATATGTAGAACAACATTTCACAAAAAATATGCTACAATTAAATGTTCAACTGTTACGTGGTCCTGGTAAGCTGCAGATGATGTACATGGAATGAAATGTAATAAATTTGATTGTTTACACGCACATTTGTACTCTTATTATAAAATGATTAGCAGAAATCTGTCTTGTTTTTATGACATGCAGTTGATGTCATGATGAGAACATATTCATTGAAGTTTTTAGGCAAAGGATGTAAAATAAAAGTAGAGGGATTGAGTATCAGCATGGCCTATTTTATTTATAAAATTGTAAACAGCGTTATAATGGCACAGCAGCATCAACATTATGAAAAAAGTCACTCTTCTTATTAAATTGATTCAGAAAATGCAATAAAACTGTGCAGCTAAATGATATTGATAGAACTGTTTTTTTTTTTTTTAATTTACTTTCAGTTCTCAATTTCTTCTGAGACAGGATCGTCAACTGTCTCCTGGCAGCAACCAAGTCTTTCATCTCCATGTCCTTGGTCTCACAAAGTGTCACTAACTCATTTTGCTGTCTCAGCCACAGCTGCTGTAAATCCAGGACCTCCTGGTGGCGCAGGTCAATGGATTTGTTCAAGGAGTTGACCTGGATTTCCAGTGGACCTAACTCAACGCCCTGTAAAAGAAAACAAAAAGATACTCCCAAGTCACAAAGAGGACAAAAGTAATAAAGAAAATGTTCATCCCAATAGCACAACAGATAGATAAATAAAACTTTTTTACTTTAAATAACTTTAACTTCTGGATAAGTCCTCATAGATATGTTTTGAGAATTGGTCTACAGATAGCCTTGAGAGCATAGACATGGATGTTTATAAAGTGTACAAACAGTGTGAACAATTGTTACAATTAATTCCAATACACTTTGCAGTCACTCCACAAAAATATCTTGTTTGAGAAACAGGAACCTAGTCCAGTAAAACAAAGATTTATAACTTGGCTCTATTTTACTGAGAAAGGTCTTTAAATAACCCCCTGCAGTGGAGCCAAATCTTACCCCAGCAGCTGCAATCAGTTGAGTGAGTTTTTTGTTCATTGTGTCCACTTGGCTCTGCTTCCGCTCAATGACAGCATTCCTCTTGACAATCTCTTGCTCACTCTTGTTAATGATGGCGTTCTGTTCAGCTATTTGAGCCTCCAAACCTTCCAGTATTTTTTTCAGACGTTCCGTGCGGCTTTTAACATTCACTAATTCTAAGGTGGCCTGTGCAATGGCATTCTCCACGTCTGCTGTTTCTGTTTCCTATTTAAAATTTGGAAGCATATTTATCAATCAAGAGTGAGCAAACACGTTTAATTTTAAATTCATCATTGTAAAGACAGCAGTTTCACATTTGAGAAAGTTCGTTTTGAAAAACATGTCACTACTTTTATAAATGAGCACAAATACAATAAGAAAAAAAATAAATATGAAATACTGCCATTTTCTCTTTATCTCTTGATAAAATATCATTTACCAAATTCTTCACCATAAATAGCTTTATGTCTTAGAGACTGTCAGTCTTATTTAATACAATTTGTGTTACTGACCAGTTTCTTGGTGGCATCCCTGGTTTTTCTGATAAGATTTTTGCTGTAGTAGGTGGCCTTGTCTAGTGTTAGCTGGGCTCGCATCCTCTCTAGAATATCATCCTCTAGCTTCACCTTGGCTTGGTATTCTTGCTCTATCTGTTTTCTCAGGGATGCAAGCTCTGCAGTCCTCAGGTTTTTGTCCTAGTTAGAGAATGCATGCAAGACAATGAGAGAGAGAGAGAGAGAGAGAGAGGGAGGACAAATCTATATTTTGTATGATCCTGGTCACAATCTCAGAATTGAAATTCCAAAGAGAAGTTCAAATTTAAAACATTTTTATGAGCTAAAAATATTTTCTAATACAATATAATTAATATTTCAATAAGTTCTGTTGTTATTGTTTTTTAAATGTAACACATTGCGGCTTTGGTTTTGAGACATGGCTATTGAAAAACAACTTATTAAGATCTTTGACTGAAGTCCCTTTCCTGTAACTTTAAGGGGGATGAACAATTCATGGATTGGTGAAAATAGAAAGTTACGTGTATTGGTAGGAAATACTTTATACTACAAACACAAACAATGTTACCATTGACTTACAGCAATAGCTCTAGCAAGGGCCGCCTCCGTCTCCTGTAGCATGCGTGTAAATGTGGAGAATTCATTCACAAGGCTGTCATGTTTACTTTGAACCTGTTTTAGAAAAACAACAGCAGCATGACTTTTTACAGTTTTCAAGTTAACAACTTCTGTCAGGTTTAATTCAGAATTTAAATTTGAAAAACAAATATTTAAAATAAACACTAAACTATCAAAAGTGTTCCAGGATTCCTCAAAATATCTCAAGTCACCAGTTTGCAACAAACAGAAAAAACTCACTGGAGATTATCTGAGTAAAAAAATAAATAAGGTCAAACACTCACTTGAGCCATGTGTTTTTTAGCCCCTTCTATTTCTCTGTCAGTCTTATTTAAAATGTGGGTGAGTTTCTCATTCTGCTCCTGCTCCTTTTGTATAGACTTCTTGTAGCCTTCCATTTCAGTTTGCAAAGTTAAGATGTATTGCTCTTGTTGCCTGGGCAAATTCATACACAATCACTCAATATGCAATAGAAAATCTAATATTTTAATCCCCCCCCCCCATCACCTAGGGTATGGATCAATAAAACTTTGCCCATTGATCTCTGCTTGAATTAGTTGAACCATTTATCCAGCTTCAAATTGCTAATTTTAATAGGCTAATGGACATTGATAAGCTTAAACACTTTGGGATCATAAAATTTTGGTCACTATAAGTATTTAACCATTTGCTTTATTTTCATGGTAAGATGGAGAAAAAAAAAAAGGGGGGGGTTCTCTAAAAAATTTAATAATTCTTTTGTGGGATTCTACACATTATAATGTTGACTACCAATGGATTAATTGACGTAATTATTTCTTTTGTTTTTAGGCACTGACTTACATGGAACTTAGGTTTTAATTACAAGAAGCTATGTAGTGTTACTGCGCTTGTTAACCAATGATAAGGTTAAAAGCATCTTATCTCCCTAAAAGATCACCACTTACACCATTGCATCTTGCATAGCTGCATATGCCTCATCCCTACGGCGCATTCCAATCAAAGAACTGTTCCACTTTTGGTAAAGGTCTTTTTTCTCCATATCAATAGACTAGTTGATAAAATTGATCAAAATGTTATTTTAGAAACACAGCATTTCCAGAATAAAAGTATGGGCCTAGATTTTTGCAAAGATGATATATTTTTACAATAAAAGTAAATTTCAATAAATCAAATGTCCTGATAATATACTTGGTCTTTCTGTCTCTTTTTCTATCCTATCTAATGCAGCATTCCTTATAGCTGAATGAAACTGATTGGACAGAACTCATAAATATTGTCTTAGCTCAAATTTGTAAACTAAAATGTTTTTCTTTACAAAATTGTTAGGCTGTTATTTCATTTCAGGTATATAAAATAAAAATTGATATGTGAGAATCTCCTGACCTCTATCTCCATGTGAGCTTCAATCAAGCTCTCCTTAGCAGCTTTAGTCTCCTCTGTCTGGGCACTAATCTGAGCCTCATACATAGCAATCTCTTCTTTAAGCCTGTCCACTTTTTCCACCAATCTGTCCACATACAGATCCTGAAAATAGATGGGACTGATTAGCATGAAATGAACTGAAAATATAAGTGCATAGACTTCTTCGTGATAAGATGATTGTGAAGATCAGGTTTCCCAAAACAAGTTACTATCTCAACTTATAAGATTTACTGTCACATTACTCACCTGTTTCTGTTTCTGCATCTCAGCCTTGGCCACTTCAGTCTCAACCTTCTCTGCTGCACGACGCATCACTGATATGTCAGACCTGACATTGTCCTTGGCATTTTGCATGTAAAATAGCCTCAGGGCTAAGTTTTCTACTTCATTCTGTAACTCTGTGCCTATGGTGTACAAAAATATTTTTAAATCTTCAAACTGGAGGAATTGTTTATAGCTTTAGACAATTTTTGAGCATTCAAAAGCAATTGATTTTTTAATCATTTTCATATAAGGAACTGTGAAAAAACTGACATGCATGTACTCTTTGGGGGGGAAAAAGTGGGAGAGGGAGTCCGGAACCAAAATTTAATCTGACTCTGAATAGATCAAGATGGTTATGAGCATCTTCACAAACCTTTCTTTCTTTCCTTGTTAACGATCAACTGAGATTCTTTATACAGCCCTCTGATATCAGTAAGCTCCTGCTCCTCTTTCTGTCTCTCTTGCTTCAGTGTTGCAACTTTATCGTGCTGCTGCTCAAGAATCATCTGCTCACAAGGAAATAATACAAGAGAATATAATAACATTTTTCTTTATGTATAGATTTTTTACACCAGCTCCCTTAACTATTTTTAAACCTGAAATAACTTTGAAATAACATTTAAACTTAAGTTTTAAATCCATGACAAGGCAGGTCATGCTTGACAACAATGATGTAAAGGTGGATCTGTTTTGAGGGGCTTTTCTGAGTGCAAGGTACAGTTGAACCCAGTTATGTCGCCTGTCTTGGGGTTTGCCAAAAAGCCTTGAGATAATCGATGATCGAGATAAACGATGATCGAGATAAACGAAAACCAATATGGCAGCAATATATTAACATGTGCTTGAAATTTCTTTATGTACATGATGTGCGTTTATAAATGAGAATGTAGATGCAGTGTTTTTGGAGTTGTTTTTTTACACAACAGCGTTACTGCAATTTGGTTGATGAAGCCATTGGCATGCTATAATAATGTACATATATGTTTGCTAAAAACACAAGGCATATGTTGGGTGCCACTTTTCGGATTATCCCAGAATTCTAGATTCGTGAGGCTAAATATTTTTCAGCACCAGATTTGTGAGTTTTTATTTTCTCTCACTCCGCATTCAACAGTTCAGTTTATTCAAATATGGATTCTGTTTTTTTAAATTTAAAAATCAATGTGTAAGAATGCGTGAAAGCCTATTCTGCGACAAGCGGGTTTTCTTTAAATAGAACAGGTAACACGATCTCTCTCTTTTATCTGCAAGCCTGTCGCTTCTTGCTGTGTCAAGTTAATTGCGCAGACAATGATATTGTCATTTCATTTAAATTACTAGTTTGAAGTAGGCACGTTTCTGTTGCATATAATTTTCAAAAACCGGCAATTGGTCATGGGGATCAAGATAAAAGAAGTGGCAAATTTGGCTTCCTATTGTGCTCAAGATATCAGGGTTCGATAACATAAAAGAATCGACATAATCGATGAGAAAATGCTAAGACAAAGAGAGAATTTGGTGGTTCCACTCAAAAACGTCGAGATAACAGGGTTGGCAAGTTAACCAAGGTCGAGATAAAGAAAAGTTTAGAAAAGTGACCAGAACTCAAATCTATGTAACTTAAAACATTCCTGTTATTTATCATATTCTCTGTGCCTTCTATGTAAGTCACAATATTCCTGCTATTTACAGTTTCAACAGTGGTCCAGAACTTACACTGCCAAATTTTTCAGGATAAATCTGCATGTAGTTAATTTCTAAAAGATCATGATAATATTGTTTTGATTCTGATCCCTTGGTACATCTAGGTTGTGAAACTTTTTAAGTCATTTTTAGTCAAAGAATCTTTGTATTATTCAAATGTTATGTTAGAAAATTAAACTATTTTACAATTAATGACTTTAGAGTCAATGTCAACTCCACATATCCCCAAGCAAGAAAGGGGAAATATAGCAAGCACTCTGACACCAAGAAAATAATAAAAAAATAAATTATTCTAAATGGCAACTTAAACTACCTGATATCTTGCCAGTTCTTGTTGAACTCCATATAACTCGACACCCAGATCCTCTCGTTCCTTCTTCTTGACGCGAACATTTTCATTCTGGACAAAATGGAACAAAAGAATTACATGACTAGAAAAATACAGATTTAAAAAAAAGTTTATTACAATTTTTTTTTTCAGATTTCAATTTATAAAATATATTTCATCAGTGGGTATCTGCTGCTGGTGTTTAAAACAGATATTTTTGCACCCAATAATTCATAGCAGACTTTTTAAAAATAAAATGACCTGCTGAAACTGATTTTATAATTGATACCAGCCATATTATGAAAAAACAACTTACCAGTTCTCTCAGCTCCAATGTCATTTTGTCATTCTGTTTTGTCAGATGAGATTTCAGTGCTGCTTGAAATCTTTTCATCAGAGGCTGAAAATAAGCATTGTTTTCTTGATGGAGAATAAGTATACCCAGGGAAAAAATATGTCATACAAAACCTGACTTCATCATTGATCTGTTCTGTGAAATGTGGTTGAAGGTCAAGCAGGAGGTGTATCCCTTTCCATGTTGGCTAGCTCTTGTTTTATTGTAAATATTAAAAACACCACACTGACAGAAAGAATGTGGTGATCACACTTTTTTTTTTTTACTGTAAGTTTTGATTCTTTTTCTGTATGTCAAGAAGTTGCTTACATGTCACAGAATTAAATTGCTCATAAGCATCCTATGTGGAACACTGCCTACAGAATTTAGTACTTCTTTTAGAACTAATAAGATGAGCTTTTTTAAATTTTAGAGTTAAGTCATGAAAATATGCTCAGAACATTATCTAAGTGAATGTGTAAGAGATGCCATAAGCCAATTTTTTTTTAAAGAAGTAACCGTTTCACTCAACTTCCAAAGCTAAACATGTAAATCTGCTAAGTTTGCTTTCGTCTTGAGAATATAAAATGGTAATAAATTTTTTTATGATTTTATATTACTTTATTTTTTTTTTTTAAATTAGTGTGTAAAATATCTTAGACATCTGTGAGCTTTATGAGGGTTTGACATGAAAGGATATTCTAAGTATGTGTGTGTCTAAAAAGTGTCTCATGCACGATAGAGGTTTTCTTATCTTTTACAATCAATGTGAAATTTTTTTTTAAATTTTACAACAAAACCTCATGCTCACAACCACATATTGTCATAAAAAAATGAAGTTCTTAAAGTATGGGAATCGTTTGATTTTTTAAAAAGTTTTTATTCATGTTACAATTACTTGTTTCTACTGATAATAGAACCTATATCACATTTAATATCTTGGTATTTGACTGGACAGTTGGAGGACACATAACTTATTTAATGGAATCTAGCAAATTTTCACTCTGCTTTAAAGCTTCTTGTAGGGGTTTCCTGATGGCCTTTAGTACAATAAGTAGAAAGAAATCATGGTTACTCTCAACTAGAAACCCAACATTTATGCTTCTGTAAATGATGAGGGATCATAAAAAAAATTAAATGCATTACAATTGGTTAATAAACAAAAGCCAAAAATTATTATAAATTAATGTTAAAAATGAATCAAAACTCATTGCCCCTTTCCAAGATGGACCAATAATATGCATCATGTTTTGATTGACAAATACCAGTTTGGCCAGGCAATCCTGCCACAATTATTTTGCTGCCCTCTCGGGTAATACTTTTCAGCTACCTGCTATTTTTTATTTAAATTCTTTTTTATTTTTGTTGTCTGTTTGCTGACGAAGGCTTCCTGCTGACATGTTAGTTGTTTTGTTGCATTCCTTTTTTCAGGTTTTCCCATACTTTGCTTTACTCATTTCCAGGCAAGTAGTAGAGCCACAAAGATATCACATGACTCATCTCTCTAACACTTGTAAAATAAGCAGGCTTAAAAAAACTTTCTGGCAACTAGTGCCATTCTGAAATCCCCTTACAATAAGATGATCTCATCAAGCTCTTGGTCGCTATGCAAAACCATGAACAAGGCAGACCAAGCTTTGCATATAATACTTACCTAGATCCAGAGAAAAAATAACATGATTTTGAGGGTGGGATTGGCAACGCAACTAAGAGCTTAGGGACCAGTCTTAACAATGACATGATTTTGAGGGTGCGAGTGGCAACACAACTAGGAGCTTAGGGACCAGTCTTAACCAAAAAGAAAAGTGGCAATTATAACAAATTAATTTCTACATTATATTTACATTTATTGCTAAAAGCAACAAGTATTTCCCCAACACACACACACACCCCCCCCTCCCCCACCCTCAGTGTGCATGGATAAAAAAATCATAAGAATCGGATCTCATTGAAGAATATTTACATCTCTCCTTCCAGATTATTTACAGTACCCAATCAATTTTTTATATTTATTTAATATTAGACTCACATGATCTGGATCCAAAACGACCATATCAGTTTCATTTTCACTTTCATCTGTCTCAAGGCCTTGCTCGTCATTATTTGCATCAGAATCATCATGACCACCCGCATCATCTCCAGGGCCATGGTCATCATCCCCACCATTATCATCGCCATCATCATCATCGTCATCATCTCCACCCCCTCCAGGAATTGAAGGACGACCATAGTGATCTGGCCAAGCATCAACATCAGAGCTACCTGAGTCAAATGCACACAACAAAAAAATCAAACATTGTAAATTTTCCATCTACTAGACCAACAACAAGAAAACATTATTGTTGATGAAAGACAACAAAAATTTTAAAACTGATCATCATGGGTTTAACATAATGATCTGATAAGACTTTAAGAATCATACTCTACAGCAGCCTATAATTTATTAAACCTGTCTTAGAAGGTATTTTTATCAACTCACTGGATGTTAACACCAGGGGTGTTGTGTCATAGTAAAAATTATGAGATAGACTTTCAGGATGTAAAATACTGACTTGGAAATTCAAAAGTTATTTACCATTTTTAATATAGTCACATTTTTAAAGTGTTCCAGTCTAAATTCAATTAAGATGAATTTTCATGTCTCTTTTCAAGTATAACTCTGAAAACTATTTATTGTTCCTCCACAGGCCTTGTTCAAATTTAGATCTTTTAAGATAAATCAATGGATCTGAACTCTATGGCATATATGTTAGATAAATTATTCACATCCACATCAAAGGCATGGTTTAAATAAATAAATATCCCATTTAAAATGTATCCTTATTTAATAGATTTTACTTGACTGTTTTGAAATTCTTTACTGGCTATAAAATTTCAATCAAACAAAAACATGCAAGTTCTTTTATTATAACAGTTAAAATAATATGTTATAGCACAAGGTTAATTTTATTTACATTATGTTGTCTAAATTATAATACCATGGAAGGAAGAATTGATACCTGTTAGTAAACAAGAAAAGTTTTAAAAAACAGAAAAGTAAAAAAATTGTAAAAGATAAAATACAAGAGAATTACATGCATCAGTGAAACAAAGTATTCAAATATAAACAGAATGCCCATTGAAAATAAACACGAAAAAATAAAAAGTCCTATCAACATTTTTTCAAACTGAAATATTTATGTACAGGTACAGAATCTTGTGCTGTATTTTCATTGTTACTTAAATTGTTGGCATCTTCACAGATTAATGCTTATAAACTAATGCAATTAAACTGGAATGTAATCAAATATCATTTTAATATTGTGATATATACTTTATGTTCATTAAATGTTTGTAATATTTGAAAAAAAAATGTATTTTCTTATTTATCAAAAACACAGCTATTCTTACTTGAAAGTAACATCAATACAATGAATTGAATCTTGTCTGATTATCAAAAATAAGTAAATCAAATGCCAAAATTAAATTAAAACCAATGTTTACACCCACGTCCATCATCATAATCCACAAGTGAAGCATACATTTTTTCTCTGGCTGTTAGATCTTCATATACATTCATCCGACTCACATTCATGATTGATGCTGTTTTCTTCAAACCTCTACCTCCAAGTGGGATGGGCTCTGGCTCATTGTCTATACTTTTTCCTGTGCATATTTTTAGCCAGACATAATTTGATTTATACTGGGAATAAGTATGATTATGCCTTGTCCCTAAATTTCGAATAATATGTCTCATTGTTGTCAAAAATTAGTCATCATTCTTCAGCATAAAAAAAATTAAGCATGAATACTTAAAAAATCTTTGAGCTCTAATATTGCAATCATCAAATTATGTGGGTTTTTTTAAGTAATAAATAATAATTGTCACAGTTTTACTTATTTATATCTATATATGTAGCCGAGTGGTGACGTAGCTTACAGTTTTTAAATAAAATCAAAATGAAACAATCAGGTCTTGAGGACTGTAGCTTTATTAATGCTCTACTATGATGAAAACAAGAAAAAGGACAATATCTGAAAATAAACAAATAGTACAGGTCAACAATGTCCTGACTAACATAGCTAACAATAAACATGTTACATAACCACGTAATTACACGTGGCGACAACATATACTTAATTAGAAAGCATGATAAATGATACGTACGTAGTATTGTTTCATACACATGGCAAAGATACTTATCTTGTATTACGAATGTTTAAGAAACCACGTGTAGTGTTTAATTTGAAACACATGCACAGTGTTAATGCTACACACAGAACCAGAGTGCGGTGTAAGGGCTAACATAAACTTTAAAGATCTTGAAGTTATTATAGTATGCCATCCAGGTATGGTGTCTATGTAAGAAGCACCCATAGCAGGACAGTACATACAATGGTATACTTGACTCTCCACCAGTCCCTCGACAGCAGCAACCACCCCAATTCCAGCGACAAAACCCCCACCGAGTCAAGCTTTGTCTGTGGTGTAATCGCAGGGGCCACTCAGAATCAGACTGCAGGGCAAAGTTACATCGCCCAAACTAACAGGCAACAACCACAACAACCACAGAGATCACAGCAGGCCACACGACCACAGCCGTCTAACTTCAGTCAACAACATGCAACTCAGGGAAACTTATAAACCCCGTTGCTGTCAACCGACAAGCAACGGGGGCGCCAATAGGACTAATTGGAAAGTGCCCCACTCTGGATGTCATCCTAAATGGACACCAGGTGGCGGCTCTTATTGACACCGGAAGCGAAGTCAGCACCGTCACAGAATCCTGGGCACTCCAACATCTTGGCCACCTCCATCTGGAAACCGGCTTCATTACCTTACGAGCCGTTAATGGAGCGGAGGTGCCATACCTAGGGATATTAACTGTTGACCTGCAACTTTTAGGACATAATCTACAGAACGTCCCCATCCTGGTTGTCAAGACACCGATTGACCTGAGCACCCAAGTGCGAAAACAAGAAGTTCCCATCCTGATAGGCATGAATGTATTGAAAAGTTGGCTCCCCAATGTCACCCATGTGCCGGCACTCCTCTTGTCCACCGTACGAGAAGTACATTGTGAACTGAAAGCTGTACCAAAGACCGCCCGAGCAGCCGAACGTAGCTTTATCCCAGCCCTATCCCTAGCCAACATTAGAATTTGCAACATTACGGCGCCACACCCACTGATGGCGTCTCCGTGTTCGCAACCCCTTCCCCCTGGCCTCATAGTTATCCCCACCTTAATAGACTGTTCCAACACGCCTTTCATTAGAGTAGCCAACCTTTCGTCAGACGGCATCTTTCTACCTAAGAAAACTCAGCTTGCCCATCTTGAAACGGTGGACATAAGGGACGCCAAGGAGCATGTTCACTTCTCGGCGACGGCTAGTGAACTCATAGTGTCATGTAAGAAAGAACAATCAGAGCAACCAGAGCCTCCACAGTGGACATTCAGTGTCGTGATCTCAGCAAACATCAGCGCCAACGGCTGCTAGAACTCCTCACTAGACGAGCCGCAGCTTTCGCACATAATGAAGATGACCTCGGCTATACAGACGCTGTGTTTCACCGCATCAGAACCGCCGACGATAAACCAGTCGCTCAACCATATCGCAGAATCCCACCAAACCAACTGCAAGAAGTACAAGAGCACATACGGGGGCTGATTGAAAAGAAGGTTGTCATAGAAAGCCATAGCCCCTATGCAGCACCCATTGTGATCGTGCGGAAGCGAGATGGAAGCTTACGTCACCACTCGGCTACATATAAGTTTGACAATATTAATGTGTAAGTAACACTGAATAATTGGACAACAACATGTACATTTGAAAATGCATACAAAATAATTTTTGTGCTTTAAATGACTTGACATCATGTAAGATATTTTATATATTTCTTGTCACTCTTGTCTGGGATTAAGCCCATCACATCTGTAGTAGACCAAAAGGCTATATTTCATTAATACCTAATTGTATATTTTATCTTTTAATTACCTCTCTCTCTCTCTCTCTCTCTATATATATATATATATATATATATATATATATATATATATATATAATATATATATTTATACAAATTAAAAGAAATTGTAAACATTAAAATTGAGACAGTTTATGAAAAACAGTCAGAGGTGGAATGAATCAAACTCATTTTAAAAAGCTATATTTCATTAATATATATTTGTATATTTTATCTTTTATTTACCTCTCTCTCTCTCTCTCTCTCTATATATATATATATATATATATATATATATATATATATATATATAATATATATATTTATCCAAATTAAAAGGAATTGTAAACATTAAAATTGAGACAGTTTATGAAAAACAGTCAGAGGTGGAATGAATCAAACTCATTTTGAGCATTCTTTGCTGGATTCATTTAGTAAAATCTTTAAATGTTAAGTATAATAATTTGAATGACACAATCTTTGTATAGGATCTACCTTCCAGGTCCTGGTCTGATGAAGATTTTGCAATTTCATCTTTGTCAAGTGAGATAGCTGTGTCTGAGCCCCATCTGAGAGGCTGCATTGCTACAGTATGATAATCATCCCTTGTGGCCAGTTTAGACCTCGTTTTTTTGGTTATGTCAATGGATGCTGTAATATGAATGGTCAATAGCACCACACACATTTCAATACATTTAGATAACAAATTCATAGGGGATTATTATTATTAAATAAGTCCAAGTAATAATTATTTTTAAAAGACTTAATGCAGAGTTCAAATCTAAAAGTACAGATGCATGGATTCAGGACATAATTTTTATGATTAAAAAAAAATAAGGCAAAATAAAAGAACTTTTGTTCGTGCAGAAAATATTTTTGAACAGTGCTACTTAAATTTTTCTTTATGACAGATGGACAGTAATTTTTCTTCATTTAAGTAAGGACCACTTCCTAATTAGCTGATTATGGCTCTCTCATACATGCCAACCTTTACGGTCTACCCATACTTTGTATGATTTTTATAGTTTCACAGGATATTGTACAGTTCTCTAGGGGGGGTTAGAAAAAAATACAAGGAAGATTGAATCCTATTGGTCTGTTCAAAATGACATTTGGTAAAAGTTTAGATCAGTAGGTTATCTAAACATATAATCTCAATTAAGTTTGATAAGAATCTTTTTCTATCTATTACTATGTAATATACCAGTAGCTGTTACCAGAATCCATACAACTGTAACTTAATTGAGTTCAGTAGTAAATCATAATTAGAAATCCATTAGAGAAGTAATAATCTTATCAAAAACTGCAGTGTCAGTAAGTGTTCTTTTTTTCACTTACATAATAAATATTTTATATTTAATATCCCTAACATATATCCCTAACAATGAATGGTCTTTATCATTATGTCTATTACTAGTGTACTAGTTTTACTCCATAGCATGTTTTGTTTTTTAATTATTTATTATTTACTCCAGCTGGAAAATTCCAATTAAGTAGGTGGACATAATTTTTATTCTTAAAGTTGGAATTAGACATGCATCTGGGGAAATTTTGAAGTAAGTGTCTGAACGAATACCTTGGAATTATTGATGCCTCATCCATCAGATCATAGCATGCATTTTGCAAAATTTGCACACAAAAACCTTTAAGAGCTTGCTTCAGGCACACTTAACTTGTAAAACAGTTAACAAAAGAAACGTTGATACTATGAAGGGAAATTCTACCACTATTATTTTGTCTGAATTCCCTAAACCTAAATCCATTTTTTCTCAGCCCCATGATGTAGATAATCTAATGGATAAAGTTACGATAGCAGGTATTTCTTATTTAAACATTTCATTGCAATCACATCTAAATGACACTTATTTGGGTTTTCAAACTAATCCAGATATTATCAAAAAAGTTTGCATGCATTGAAAACATTGATAATTAAATAAAAAAGTTTTAAATCAAACATTTGTTCCTCTTTTTCTGCATAGTTTCTTATGCTGTTGTACAGTTATGGAGGGGAGGGGGGTGGGCGCGACCTTTTGTACAGTTTTGATCCCAATGGTTGCCATATATGGTTCCTTTTCAGTCTTCTTAAAATGTTTGAACTTTGCCATGGCTGGTCCCAAGCCCCGTTGCAAAAGGAGGAGGGTTGGCATGAGGCTGGTTGTAAAAAAACTATTGCTACAGTAACGTCAACAAGAAGAAAAAACAACAATTTCATCCCTGATAAGAGAGGGCTCTTTGTCCCCCAAGAAGAGACCTTTGATAACTTGGACCGACAAACCTTCTGGAAACTTCTCTGGAATTATAGGTTATCAGATAAACTGATCAGAATTATTAAGAGTTCTTATAAAGAAATGAAATGCAGGGTGGTACATGAAGGGAGACTGACAGATGCCTTTGAAGTGTATAAAGGAGTCTCTTGTCCCCCTTCCTATTCATCCTTGCCATTGAGTGGTAAATGAAAGAATCTACAGACAAAACGAGAAACATGATACTGGGTACAACTGAATGACCTAGACTTTGCAGATGACATTGCACTTCTGTCCCACAACTAGAAACAAATGCAGCAGAAGACAAAAGATGCAGCAACCATTTCAGCACAGCTTGGACTCAACATAAATAGAAGCAAAACAAAGATCATGAAGGTAAACGCCACTAACCAAGAGTATAATCTCTTTGGCAGGAAATGCACTGGATGATGTGAAGGCCTTTGCCTACTTGGGCAGCATTATTGACATAAATGGTGGATCAGAAGCTGATGTCAGGATTAGAATTGGAAAGGCTACATCAGCATTTGTGCTGTTAAAGAAAATATGGGAATCAAAGGAGCTGACTCTGCAAACTAAAGTAAGAATTTTCAAATCAAATGTCAAAACACTCCTACTCTATGGACCCAAAACTTGGAGAACTACAAGCATCATGCAGTAAACAGACCTTCCCAAAAAATTGCCTTAGAAAGAGTGTGAACATAAAATGGCCACTGGAAAGGAAAGCCCCTGATCAAGATGAATGGAAAATTCTTGTAGACAGTCTATGCCCCAGGCCTGTGCCCCAGGTGGGGTAAAAGGCATAAGTAAGTAAGTAGTAAAATGTTTTACTCTAATGGACCAGCTCAGTCCTTAGACTACATAAGCACTCCACAGATGAGTTTCAATGTAATAATTTTTAAAACTATTTTCCTTTCTATTAATATTTCCACTTTATGCTATAAATAGGTTAATTTCAACACACGCACCATGAATTTCATATGCTATTTACACACCATCAGTTTTTGTTTGATCTGAACAGTTTCTCTCATGTTTCAGATTTTAATATTTTACAGAAACAGATAAAAGAAACATTAAATTAAAATGATTTTTATGTAGAAATCTTGAGCATTTAGAAACAAAAAGGAATGCTGTTCAATGAACAAATATATTATATTTAAAAAAAACTATATCAACAATAGGTGAACATTTGTAAAGTTAGAAAATATAATTATTTCAATACAAGTTATGTTGATTTATACCAATATAAAGTATGCATCAGAAATAATTTGTTAAATAGAAGAAGAGTGTACCAAATTAAAAGATTAGAAACATTGATCAGAAAAAACAATGGTCAATACATAAATTTATTTATTTATTTAGGCATTTTTTATATAGCGCTTACCTTTAAGCTCTAAGTGCTTTACAATTATTAAAAACATATAAACTAAGTAAAATAAAAAATGAGACACTAGGATAGTAACTACTATACTATAGAAACAATTAAAATGGCTATAAGACGAGGACACTTTGGCACGTTTTGGCCTATACTACAGGATCAACCCGAGACAGAAAATGAGGCAGGGCAAGGAGGGTGCATCACAGGTCATAGGCGAACCTAAACAGATGGGTTTTAAGGGACTTTTTAAAAGTGGACGAGGTTTCATAATGATGGTTATGGAAGGGGAGCTGGTTCCAGAACGTGGGCCCATGGAAGTAGAAGGAACGTTCACCGATGGTCTTAGTTTTGGTTCTATACCAGTTGTATAAAAATTAAAATAAAAGTGATTAATGAAAGTTTACTTGTTGATAAAATATACAGTGGAACCTCTCATAACGAGCACCTCTCATAACGAGTAATTCACATAACGAGCAAAAAAAAATGTGAAGAAGTTGCTCCCTTTACGAGCGACATTTCGCATAACGAGTTAAGCAGAAAGGGGAAGTCCCTTTTTCCCTCACTTCTGCTTGGAAAAAACTTTGTCCAGAGAGTGTTGTTTTCGAAACAGTACCCGTGGAGTCTACAGTTAACGAGATTGTGTCATTGACCAATATCATAGGACTCGAGGTGGACAACAACTATATTGAAGAGCTTGTCAAAGAGCACAGTCAAGAGTTGACCACCGAAGAGCTTATGGAGTTGCATCGTGTTTCACAGCAAGAAATTATGGAGGAGAGCTCATTAATGGAGGAGGAAGTAGCAGAGCAACAATCTTCTAGCGCAATAAGAGAAATGCTGAAAACATGGGAAACGGTTGCATTGTACATTTAGAAGCATCGCCCTAATAAGGAGGTGGCTATTCTTGCTACAAATTTATTCAATGATAATGCTGTGACACATTTTCGTCAAATTTTGAAGCGGCGGCAAAAACAAATGTCTTTAGACAGTTTTCCAGTTAAAAATGATTAATTATTTGTCATAAATTCATATTTTTATTTACGTTTTTTGTTTCAAATCTAAATTGTAATCCAAGTTGTTACACTCCTTAAAAATTCATAAGTAATTTTATTTGAATAAATGTTAATAACAATTTTTGAAAAATTAGTATTTTTTCAGCATGGAACACATTATCGTATTTTACATTGATTTGTATGGGAAAAATTGTTTCGTTTAACGAGTGTTTCGCTTAACAAGTGAGATTCTGGAACGAATTATGCTCGCTATGAGAGGTTCCACGCAGTATATACAATGCATTTAAAGAATATAACTGGTAGAAAAAAATATATTATAAATTATTTAAAATGGCACTGGGGTGGTGGATACATGGCAAGTGCATTAAGACTCTGAATGACAGTGATGCAAAATTTATATAATATGTGAGAATCAAGTTTTAAAAGGAGAAACACTACAGAAAAACCCAGGTACTTGCCTATCTTGTACAAAGCATTTTACAACAAATATAATAATGCAGTATGTAAAAATATATTTTTTTTTTTCTTTTTAAAGTTGAAATAAAAATACCTTTCTTTAAGTCAGCTACAGATCCAAAAGTCAAGACACCAGTTGTTGTCTTAGAGTTTTTTTGAGTAGGAAAGTCATCTTTATCTTCAAAACTAAAGCGTACAGATTCTTTCATGGATGATGAGCGAGATCTTCTTTTTGGTGATGGTGTACCATATCTGTCATTCTCTTCCTGAGAAAAGAATGTGAAAATTTAGAGCAGAAATTTCTTTGAAGTCTACATTTGATCTATCAAATAACTATTTGATATTAAATGGATTTTGACAAACTTTGATTTTAATTTTAATGCTGTTTCAAACAATATAACTAGAAAAAAAATTGAACACTAGATGCTTCCCTGAATTAAAGTTATTTAAATATGGACATAACACATGCAAAATTACATTAAGTAAATAATTTTTATAATCTGTAACAAGTTGGGATTTTTCAAACATTGAAAAAATTAAATTTTCAAAATATCAACTTTATAGGACATTGCCCTCAGTAACTACTTACATCAACATCATCACTTTTCACTGATTCTGCATGCTGAGATGTCTCTGCTTGCTGAGCATTAAATATTTGATCCTCATTTCCCTCCTGGCTAAAAATGACAAATGGCAAATGGCTTAGATTTACGTGCAAAGAAAATTTTTGAACTGGTATGTAAAATGATCTCTTATTTACCACTCTATAACCTATGAAAAAAATGACAGAAAGTAACGCAAAAGCAACGCTGTTATTTTTTTCAATCATGGATAACATATAATTTTTAAACTACTTTGATATTAAAACAAGAAGCTATAGGGTATAGGCCAAAAGGTGTATGATATTTGGTGACACTAAGTTACAATTGTATAAACTTGGCAGCCTTCTGAGATGGAATATATTATAAAATGTAATCCTTTAAAGCCTTTGAAAACTGCATCAATGTGTAGCAGCTACATATGATAAAAAAGTATGTGTTATGATAAATATTTATTTCATACTATCCAATATAACCGGTGTGGCCTGGGATTGCATTAGGACCCCAATCCCTGTGCAGTCCCATCCCCGATGGGATCGTGTAACCGATGGGTTCCAGTTTAAGGTTGGATCTCGTTCCCCATTAGGATCCTGTTCCTCTATGGGATCATGTTCAGTGTGATTTTGCTCTAATAAGCTTTTAGATCCCATTACATATCCCGGTAGAACAATATAAAAGCTTCTGGAACATTCTAGATTAAATTTAATATCCTCCGTGAAATGTGTAAAAAATTACTTTTCTACGTAATTATCTCTCGAATGTGAAATATTATGCAACTAAATTGTACTATTATAACTAAACTATAGAACATTTAAATTGAAATTTAATAAAGTACCATTTTAGTTATGTCTGAGATGAGGGTGGGGGGGGGGGGCCTATAAAAATCATTCAGATAAATTATGGAGTTAAAATTAAAAATTTGTCCCATAAAAATCGGTTTTAAAATGCCATAGATATCGCTTTTTTAAATTATCAAACTTTCTAGAAAATTCTAGATCGGCCCTCCATGGATTGGATATAATTAGTTTTAAATCCACCGATATTTCAATATAGAGAATGAAGGTTATTGCTCCTAAGCAAGGCATCCACCAATTCACATAGACCCTAAGTGTTGTTCAAGCCTATTGAAGTTTATATAGCTTATACGAGGAAAAATGAAATAGGGTCCCTGGCCCCAGAGGAATGGATGTTATGAGTCCAGTACCATTTGGTATTTGAATATGGATAATCAAGAGTAAGTGTACTAAGTTTGGTCAAGATCCATCAATTCATGTAGGAGTAATTGTTGTTAATTTTATTGATATAGCTCATATAAATATAAGTAAAAAAAATCATAAAAAGTTCATAAGCCCTTAAGAGTTCCTTTTGGATAATGATGGATATATGTGCCAACTTTGGTCAAGATCCATCAATCCATTTAAAAGCCTTTGTGGAACAGACAAACAAACAAACAAATTTTCACTTTTCTATATAATTATGATATAAGATAGGAGCCAGTGTTATCAGGCTAAAAAGGAAGGCATATTCAGACCTGTTTAGCCTCAAACTATTAAAATCGTACAATATCATCACAAAATCTTTTAATACATTATCTTAATAGTAAAAAAATAAACATACAGTATATATAATGCATACACCTCAAAATTGTACATCATACACCAAAATCGTAAGAGTAAATAGGTCTACATATTGCACTACTTGCTACCTGCTTTTGGAAAGTCTAAAATTTACAAAATTTAATGTAGAAAACTGTATCTGTATATATTGTATACTCCAACAAAAAGAATTTTGAACATTTTCCACACTTTTGAAATATATATCTGTTAAAAAAAATGGCCATTAGAATTTGAAATTCTGTTCTTAGATACTGTTCTGAGTAAACGCATGTTTATTCATTGTCAATGCACCTAAAGGCAGTGATGTGCAGGCGTTGGCATCAGCTGAATAGACTGGCTGCTAAATAAAAAAATGTATAGATCTATTTCTTAAATGCTAAGTTTTTAAAGAATAGTAATATTTCTTTTAGAATTGTGTCAAGGCTTAAAGGGATATTTGCTCAATGAATATAGTTTGCTAAGAAAGAATGTTAAATTGAAATATAGGGAACATTTCTGACTTATTGAACATTAATTGGAATAGATTGTCATTGAATTTGTAGGCTGCTACTTAATGATAATATATTGAATCAGCATTCAATACACGCCCTGGGTAGGTACTCCAACTCAAAATTTCAGATACATCTGACATATACAAGGAGCATATCATTGGAAAGAGCAGGCTTTAAGTTTTCCATTGAAACCAAGATAATTTTTCTATCACTTATAGGAGAAAGTTGTGAATTTTTTAGTGATATATTTTTCCCCACTATTTGGCTTTGTATTTAATTTTTAAAACTGTGATCGAATTATTACTCTTTTTGCACTATTTTAGTTATATCTTGTTGGCTTTTAAAGTTAGACAGCTCAAATTTGGAGGAGACATTTACAATACAATGTTTAACAAAACAAAACACATGAATTTTGAATTAACTATTATATTTTATGATATATTATTTTATAAGCATATAGCGTGGATAACGACAATTGTCGAAAAATTAATTTTTTACAAAAAAATGACATAATTATTAAACCAATAAAGCTATCGCTATAAAATTTTCAATACAAACAGGTAATGTCCATCTAAAAGTAAGGCTCATTTAAAATAAATAAAATACAGTTTAGAAAAATTTATGCAATATTATAAATAATATTTCATGAAAAGCAACTACGGCCGAGACATTTTTTACATTTAAATATATAACTTTTAAACTAATGAAGCTAATACAATCAAATTTTCAGTAAAAATAGATAGTGTCAAACCAAATATAATAGAGTATTAAAATATTGCAAAAGCAATTAAAATCATGCTATACAAAATTATTAAATGTCATGTAATCTGTTCACATTGATGAACATTTTTAAACATAACTTTTAAAATAATAATGCTAATTCAATGAAATCTTTAGTACAAATAGACACAATCTAAAATTAATAAAGCATTTAAATTCAAATATCATAATTCAGAGCATTTTATGTACAAAGTTTTTGAATGAAACTCTGTCTCTGTCGACATTATTATTGCACCGGGTACAGGTACATTACATTTCGGCTCCTGAGGTCTAGCAACACTTCATCCTCATGGATTGGTACATTAAAAAACATCTGCCTCCATTGTCAATATCAAATAGGGTTGTTTGTTGATCTCCTCCAAGTTGGTCCAACATAGCATAATTACAGGGAATGATGACAATCTGTAACTCTGAAAAATAAAAAAAAAGATTAGGACTACTAATTTATGAAGACCGTTGCATATAAATAATGATTCAATATTTTTTAAATAGGCTACACAATGTTCTTTATTATATGTACATTTATAGCTGTTAATAACTAAGACTAGAAGCTATCTTACTAATTCATAGCTCTTTGTATGTCACTGCACTTTGATCACTTTGTTGTTTTATCTCAGTATATGTATTAGTATTATTGATCCAAAGCCTGCTCTTATATAATAACTATATAGGCCTAAAGTGTAATTATTATTAAAAATCAGTTATAAAAGTGTATATCAAAAATCAAACTACTAAGTTATAATACAGGAAATATTTATTTATTTGTTTTAAAAAGGTTTTAAATAATAATAACCGCTGTTTACATTAGAGATATATCACTTCTGGTAAATCAAGGGGGAAAAATGGCCACGACTTAGCAACCTTGAATTTTTAGTCACATGGTTCAAGCTCTCATAAATTTTGGGGACAATCAATACTCTTGTAAATAAGTGTTTCTGCTTTTAAAATATATAATCTATGTGATCAAGTAATTTCCAAGTCCGAACATGATGTAAAAAAAAAAATATAGCACAGCGAACTCACTTACCCCGTCGTCGAGATGCACAAACACTCAAGCGCATTATTATAAATCATTATGTAACCAGGGACAGCTATCGTCACGGACGCTTTGGCGAGGATATCAAAATGTCGGTCAGTTCAACAACGGGATTTATGCACAAACTGTCATGTGCACGCGCATGAATTTGTTGATCCAGTAGACCAGGACATTCACACATAAAATATTGAAGGACTTTGGATGCAAGCGAAACGAAAACTCCGCTATCAGAGTGGTACTAGTTGCTGTCAGTTTGCCAGCTACTTGGGGGCCTTTCAGTGGTGCAACAGTCACAAGGAGAACGTTTTCGGCTGGTATTTGCAAATGCTATGCGCATATTACAATATTTAGTATTTACTGACTGGTTTGTAAAGCGACAGTTATTTGCAAAAGCTATGACTGACATGTCTGTTGTTTTCTAACAATAAACACTGTGTATTGCATTTTTTTCATACGAAATAATTTGGGACCGAACTTTGGAGTATTGCCGACATGTAATATGTATGCCTAGTAGTAGTTGTAGTCGTTAGTAGGCTTAAGTTTAAGCCTACTACTACTACTACATATTATATGTCTTTATAGATTTTATATGACATATCATAGACTTCTTAGTAAACATAGTCAATTATACCACTTACTTACGTGACGACTGCTGTTTTAAAATTATTCTAAGCCTGCTGTCTAGACTATGCCATGCAATATTTAGAATATTTTGTTAAATTTAAATATTTGCTACGAGTGTGATCGTTTAAATTATTAGTATTAAAATCAGACAACCATAAATTTCATCATGCCGAGTCTACTCTGAAACTGAATCAATCACATTGTGATATTGAATCATTGTGATTGTCAATGGCCAATGCGTGCCAATACTTTAGCCTTTACTTTGCCCGATTTAGCCGACTTTTTTTTTAAAATTAAATTTATCCAGGCATTTTCTGAAAATCAATCATTTAATAAGGATTATAATGAATTTCTTTACAATTTTCGCTATACATTACACTTTTATGATTTTTATTTCAAATAAATAGTTCCATTGAATGATTTTTTAATGAAGAAGTCTTATGATTGTTAATTTTACAAACCTATTCTCCTCGTCAGCCATTTTCAAGCTGTTGATCTGTTGCTATGAGAGGGTCATAGTGTCATAGAACGGAATCAATTCGCTCCACTTTATTTATTTTTTTTAAACCAATGAAACTACAGTCAAGAATTCTATGCGATACGCATCAAAATGGCCGAGTTTTATTGATTCTGCTTCTTAGATTATGACGAAAGGTCTGTAAAGTCCGTAATGAATTACTTTTTACTCAGTTTTCTGGTAAATATATATATAATTAAGGAATAACAATACACTATTTTGTGATCCACTATTTAGGACTAATGAAAATTATTAATTGTAATGTAGCCTACGCCTATAATTAATATAAATTGGGCCGATGCCGAGAATGCGTTTGTGTCAAAATGAAAAATAACAGTTTAACAGTAACAGTGTATCATCCCTTGAGCCCGCCTTGTACTAATTTCTAAGCAAAAAAATTAAAGCACAGATTTTGTAATTTTCTAATGTCCTAATCCCTAAGTAAATTATTAAAAATTAAGTAAATAATAGTCAATAGTAAGGTAATTTACCACTTGAGCGTCGGCCAAGAAAAAATCCAGCTGTTCCGGTTTGAAGGGCTATTTAAACAATTATTCTTATCTTGTTTTTACGACGTTGTACATACTCTTCCAGCACATATACAGTACCGGGTAGAACAAATAACACAATACAATTTTAAAAAATAGAAAATGTAAAACAATTTAATTTTAGAAAAAAAAATTAAAATAGAAGAAATCAAACAATGTAATGTGTAAAAATGACATTATGCATAGTTCTCCCCCAAGGTGAGAATGAAGTTCTTGAAAATATAATGTCCTCAAAAACGGTTGCGGAACATGAATTCATGTAGATAAGAAGAATATGTACAACATCGAAAAAACAAGATAATAATAATTGTTTAAATAGCCCTTCAAACCGAAACAACTGGATTTTTTCCTGGCCGACGCTCAAGTGGTAAATTACCAATAGTAATTAGTTGTAATTTTAGGTTGAGTCTACAACTTCAGTGTCAGTTATAAAATCATGTTGTTCTGGTTTGAAGGGCTATTTAAACTCTTACTAACTTCTTACTTTTTATTGATGTCCGTGCCATAGTACTAGTACTGTGGATAGAGGGCGACTGGGTTTTCTATGGCATAGAGAGAGAGTGGGTGCCGTTTTCTTATTTAAGTGCTAGACCGATGTTGATTTGCAATCACATTACAATTACAGGGTGCATTATATTTATATGCATAGAAAGACAAATTCCTATATAGTAGTGATGGGATGATTAATCGGAATCGTATCGGAATAATAGATTTTTCCAAAGCATGGGGAATCGGTATCGGAGCTGAATAATTCAGACCCGATTCCGATACCAAAACGATTCTTAGTCTTAACTGATTAACTGCCGTAAGCCGGTGACAGCGCAAAGTTTGTGTCGCGTATAAAACCTTTTCCAAGACATTGTTATCTAGCATATTGTAAAGCTTCAATAGCAAGTTAATAAACTTTTCTAATCAATTCTCAACTTTTATATTAATTAAAAATGTTAAAACCTGGGCACAGTAATACATAGATGTAATAATGGCCAGGAATCGTATCGGAAATCGGGATAATTGGGTAGAATCAGAATCGTTAAAAATGTTGGTATCGTCCCATCACTACTATATAGGCTCACATATTGTATCAGATGGATGGGCGGCTTATGCAGAGATAAACCAGATTAGACACAGAATCTATTAACTCCCAATCCGAAATCAAATGACCTGGTTTCCACACACAGAAAGTTGAAAATATGTGGATGCACACAAAGCGCAAACTGAAAATACAGTTTAGCACAAGCCCCGAACTTTTTCCTTCATATTTGCACGAGTTCATGTTCCACAATAATTTTCTTGGATATGATATAAACTCACACTCTGTTTTCTTTTCATACATTAAAGTTTATAAATTTTTCTATTTTAAAAATTATTAACTCATTTTCTCTGGAACAATGATCCCATTGTTCATTTTAAATGAAGTTTTTGTCGGATCGATGATGGCACCGTCAATGTTTCATTTCTATTCTTAGCTATTTGTTTTAAATTACTTTTAATCAAATCTGGAATGATTTCCCTTTAATAAACTTTCAGATTTTCTTTCTTTTAATGAGTTTTTACAGAGAATGAAGTGTTTAACTCTTTCACTGCGGAATTTTTTTATCGAAAAAATTTAAATTTTTCTTCGAAGAGCAAAAAGAGTGAGAGGTTGGGTTTATTTAAAAATATTAAAAATATTATTTTTTTGTTTATAAGACTAAACTTGGTATTAAATGAAAGATAATTGAAAGGACTATATTTTTGTAAACTTATTTCTTCGGTTTAAATAAACCTCTATGACCTTTATACCATGGAATACTTGCCAGCCCTGCTACTAACTGCATTTAAGCCCTGTACAAAGTTACATTTTGATTAGAATATATAAATATCTGGGTTATTGTCATTTCAGCAAGCCACTAATTGTGGCTATAATCCTGGACCAGTCAAAATTAGTTAACTATGTTGAAAAATTAAGCTTAAGTAGCTCTAGTACTAGTAGTTAGAGGCAGACCGAATTTTGGTTTTGGTTTCGGTACCATAAGATACCTTATGATCCCTTTCGGCGTAGTTTCGGACAAAACAGAAATGATTCATGTTATAATATATGACTAATCCTCTGTGAACACAGCTCACAGCTCCATGATGACATATTTGTCCAATAATTCCAAAAATAAAATGACAACTAGGCTTAGGAAAAGGTGAACAGTTTTTTTGTTTTTTTTTTAAAACAACTATAGGAATGGTAATATTTCTATTATTATTTTTGTTTAAAACTTTAAAAAAATAAAATTTGAGAACCATAGGTTCATTCAATTTCATTTCATTCAATTGTGACATTCATTTTATCATTATCATGCTCATAAATATTGTCATAGGCAAAGAAAGGTAAATAGTGCAGAGAAGCTGTTATTTCTAATCTACAAAATTAATTTGTTCCGTTTTAAATTACTTACCAATTATCGCTGAACGAACTGCCATTTAATGACTCTTATTGCAAGTGTAGTGATTATATCTGGATTATGGATAACTACTAATTTTAAAAGTATTGTTGATAATGTTGAATTTTTTTATTGCCTCATTTTTTTTCCTCAACATAGTTTTTAAATCTTGTTTGTTTATTTTATTTTTTTCCTAAACTTCTTTGAGCACAGTTTTTCCAGGTTATGACCTGTCTGTAACATATATGTAGCTTTGATTTTGATTTATTGATCGTCAAGGGGAATCGGGGGTTGCCTCAAATGCTAGTGTGCTTGAATTCGAAACTAGATACGAAAATAAAAGCCAAGAACTTTTCATTACGATTATCTTTATGCAACATATTTAAGAATTAATAATTAATTAGAGTAGATCCATTTGAGTACACAGTACATAAATGCATAAAAATCCTTGAGCAGTGCCACATTATATAAAAAGCGTTCAAATATACTTCAAAATGAGGATGTTATTAAAAGTGATTTCTTCTTTTCAGATGTGGGGCAGTTTGTTGTGGCTTTCCCTAATTTATGTTGTATATTCATAATTTATATTCTTGGGATGTTATTTTAAAATACTGTGTTTGTTACACATTTTCCCTGTGCATCTGTGCTATTGTATAACAATTTGCCTGTATATATAAATGATTAATATTTGGGCTTTCTTTGTTTCAGTTTTCTAGTAATAATTTTGTGTCTTACTGAGCTCACTAATAAAACTCTTAATCAATTGCTTAAATATGTATGCTTTTTTTTTTTTAATTTTCCTGGCTAGGTGCAAGTTACAATGGCAATGGTTATAAAAAGTTTTAAAATGCATAACAAACAGAGCTGGCAGTGTAAATTAGATTAATTGCTCTTGCCTAGTGTTGCCAACAGCTGTGTCTAGGTCATCTATTTGTGAGCCATCCAAATACAGTGACTCTACATAATGTGGTTGCTCATAATGAGATATTTAAAATGAGAAAATTTTATATAAGGCCTAAAAGCTGTTACAATATTTTTGCAATGCTTCTTTTCTTAATTAATTATTATTTATTAAGTTATGTAAATGAAATGTTTTTACAGTTGGAAAAGTGGAAGGGTTTAATTACCTAACTGAGAAGACATTCTATGATATGTAACTAATTTCTGCATTTTCCCTCTCATTTATTTATGTATTCTTACACTAGTGAAACATATTTTTAAAATCAACATTCAGGTCTAGCCTTCTTCTATCCCTTTAGTTACATTATATATTTGTATAACTATATAATAATGTTAACAATTGTAAAATTGAATGTACAATTTTCACCCAAAAAATGTTATTTTTTAGGAATAAAATGATGTAAAGCTATATATATAATGTATATTTATTTTATTTTTCCCTCCAGGTACTTAAAATAATTGTTAACTCAAAATAATTGTTAACGCCCAGATTTCAAAATGAAAGATTATTGTGATCAAGAGAAGTGACATCATAGAGGAACCTATGACCCATTCCAGCCAATGGCATTCAGTAACATATTCAAAAAGGCAAGCAATCTCTTTGGCCTATCTGGCTCTGAAAGTTTGCGCCCCCCACCACTTGATGGTGAAATAATCTACTGTAAGAACAATGTTTGTGTCCACCCACCAGCCTCTCTACTTCTTGATACGGAGCATCACCCAGGTTATCTCACTCTGAGAGCCCAGCAGAGTCAGGTATTCTTTTAAATGTTTTGTTGTCCAGCTTTTACTTGATTAATTAAATTGTGTAATTTTATTTACTTTTACTTTCAAAAGAAATATTTTTACAATTGAGGATTAAAGTTTTGGTTAATAAACTAAAACCAGATGTTAAAAGTATTTAATTTACTTTTAAAGGTAAACAAACAAAAATATATTTGTCATGGACTTTAAAACTATGTTTTCTGATTCTTCTTCTTTATTTTGAGGGCCCATGATCAATGAATTGATCATTCTGGCTCCTATGTTTCAGAGGGGTTTGCGATGTTACTGTCCATGGGTTTCAATGGGAAACTTCACTGGTTGCAAGGGCGACTCAGCAGTGGTGTTATGAACTGGGGGTTGGAATACAGGAGGCAATAGACACAAATGTGTCGAGTGTAGCTGCCTCA